GTTGTGTATTTGGTAAGTGGTTTTATAATATTTGATTCCTCTTCCCCCAACCCATTTCAACTCTGAAGTCTAGAGTCTATCTCCCTCTGCTTGGTAGAGAAAAACAGCACAGCATGTTCTTTTTCTATTACCTTATAAGTAACTTGAAAAGATCAAATAAGTTATATATTTTTGTTACTGAAAAAACAGAGAATACAGGCAAGGATAGAAAAACCAAAAACCTAGCACTCATATGCAGGAGTGACCATGCTTCTTGCTAGTTTATGTAATTACACTTCATTTCTATGTTTATATCTAAATAACACTTTTATCACAAAAAAATTATATTCTATAACGTGTAACTTGGAAACACAGCTTTGGGGAGCGCTTTTCCTTCTTTCTTACTCTTCATCTGAGAAGCCAAGGGAATTTAAAATGAGATGATTTAATTAATAATTGAAGTAGGATTATTCGACCATTTAGATGAAAGAAAATTTATGTTGACGGCAGATATACTACCCTTTAGAATACTATAAATAATTTCCCCCAGAAATTCGAGTACTGATTAGGGATATATTCGTTGTTTATTTTTAGCACTAATTGGTGTGCAATAAACACTTTACTAAGTAAAATTCAGTTTTCTTGAAGCACCCTGCTATTACTTTAAAGTATTTAGGGATGGAAGCATTGTATTATCTGTAAGAACATTTCAATCATATGTTATTAAAAATATTAAAAGCTGCTGAAATAGATTGTATTTTGATTGGTATTAGGTTTGTCATAATCTAATCCTTTATCTTCGTTCTAGTAAAAAACTATTTTAAGGATAGTTCTTTTGCAGCTTGTGTTAGATTGGAAGAGAGGATTATCAAGTGACGGAATTGCAGTAGTAACATGGAAAATCTGTGAAGTTTACTTTACAATGTTATTTCTTTGGATTTTAAGGCTTTATCCAAAGTTCTAGCTTTTGGGGAATGCTAGTATCCCAACTTTCATAAAGCAGCTTTGTGAGCCCATAGAAATTTATTCATAAAGATTTAGACCTCAAAAATACATGGCCATCTATCCAGGCCTTGGTGAAGGGCTCATTTTATTTAAAATTAACCATAAATTACTAACTTTCATGGGGATATTATATACAGACTTCTTTTTTTTATAGGACCAATGGCTAGATTAAAAAAAAAAGCTTTCTTTAAACATAGTCTGACACTAGTGAAGTAATAACATTCAACATCTGTAGTGATATTGTTTAAACATTATTTTCTCAAGCTCTCCAGTGTAAATGGAACGTCTCAGTTCATATGGAGGGAGAGTATGTGCTTATGAAAGTATTCATTCATTAATTCAGCTAACACTCAAGAACTGTGCTAAGTGAAGGGGGTACAGAGGAATAAAATGAGATCTCCTTGCCTGAGGAGTCATGGTCTGATGAGAAAACACATAAGGAAACAAAATCAGGAAGGCTTCTTAGGCCCAGATAGATTTAAACTTTAATGTAAAGAGAAACTATGGCCTTGTGCATGAAAGTGAAAAACTTACTCCATGTTCTTGGAAGATTCTGTTTAGAGTTCAGTAAGCTACATTCAGTGATGGAAGACTACTAAAAGGTAGAACAGATTGTTTTTGAGCTTGGGGGTCACTGTGAAAATAATTGAGGAGTAGAGAACTTAAGTCTGGTGTAGGAATGTGGCATCTGGAGAGAATGAAGATGGCTGGCACTTTGGAGCAAGTCAGGCTCAGGGGGTGCCCACAAACTGGTGTCACAGCTAATCCTGGCAGGGACTGTGGTTAGGCCAGCTTCCTTCATGAGATGGAAACTTTTCTGTTCCTCAGATAGTCCTAAAACTCAACCTATAGCTCATTTTCCCCTTCTACTGCAATGTTTTTGATCCTTTAAATGCTAGGGTCCTAATCAGATGGGAGAGTCAAGTTACATATGGGACAGTTTTTACTCCAAGAAAAGGGAATATTTAAGAGATATTTGCTGAATGCTTGTAACATAATAGAAAGAATTTGGATTAAAAATAAATCACATTTTATGGTCCTTTAGTAAGTGCCAGACAGTGTTCATGTATCTTTTTTTCTTTTTGAAGAAACAGAGTCTCATTCTGTCACCCAGGCTGGCGTGCAGTAGTGCAATTATAGTTCACTGCCTCCCTCCAACTTCTGGGCTCAAGTGATCCTTCTGCCTCAGCCTCCTGAGTAGCTGGGACTACAGGTGTGAACCACCACACCTGGCTGATTTATTTTTAAGAGATGAGGTCTTGCTATGTTTCCTAGGCTGGCATCAAACCGTGGGCTGAACTGATCCTCCTGCCTTGGCCTCTCAAAGTGTTGGGATTATAGGCATGAACCTCCACACCTGGCCCATGCATCTTTGAATACAACATCTACTTAGATTCTTTTACTAACATTTTATAGATAGGAAACCTGGGACACAGGCACCTTCATAAGTAAGAGGCTCACAGTTAATCAATGGTGTCACCAGGATTTAAACCCAGGCTGGAGCCTGAGTCTCAAGAGAGCTTTGTGAACTTGGGCAAGTCAACCTCATCCTGTCCCCTCATCTGCAAAACTGGAACAATGATGATAATACCAATTTGAGGGTGTTGTCACCAATATAGGTGCTTTGCATAGCACTGACTCACAGATATGTTCCCCAGCATTCTAGAATGATGGCACAGGTGGGGAAGCCACTCTCCTGTACCAAAGCTGTCCCTACGATCAGTAATTCTGGGCCAAGAGTGGTCAGCATAAGAGAAGTGATCAATAAATGGTGGCTGCTGGCTGTGTGAAGTTGTCATTTTTATTTAATCTATAGCCCCAAACTGAGATTGTTTTCTTGAAATCAGCAGAAAACACATATTACATTGTGCTTGGAAATGAGATGTATTTTTCCACACCTTCTTGTTTTTTGGCTTAAGAGTAGACTGTAGTTGTCACACTGCTGCCAGTTTTGAACTATGTGCTGTGTGGCAATAAAGAGAAAGAAATTCAGAGGTATTCTAAGCCAGGTTCTGGTAGTCATCTGTTTTGATTCAGAATTTTTGTGAATCAGACACTGGGAATGAAATCTGACCTCAGATATACTTTGTATTTCCTAAGCGACTTTAGAGAGGTCCCTATGTTTGAGGCATATCCCTAAGAGGTAATGAATTTAGCATTACCCTAAGAGGTAATGAATTTGACTTAAAAAGATGACTTCAGTTTTTGCTTGGGAACGTTGCACATATCCGTGTAATCTCTACCACTGTTGCTGTATTAGTCACAGTTCTCTGGAGAAATAGAACATAGACACAAGTATGTATATCCCGTTGGATATCTCTCTAAGATGAAATTTATTTTAAGGAATTAGTTCATGTGATTGTTGGGAATGGCAGGTCCAACAGCAGGTTAGCAGGCTGGAGACTTGGGTAGAATTTCTGTATCTCAGTCTTGAGGCTGAATTCCCTTTTATCCAGGAAACCTCAGTTTTTACAATGAAGCCTGCTAGCTGATTGGACTTGGCCTCCCCATATCTATAGAGAGTAATCTCCTTTACTTTAAAGTCAACTGATTGTTCATGTTAATTGCATCTAATAAAATACCTTCACAGTCGTACTGAGATCAAGTGTTTTACCAAACAAGAAGGCACCATAGCCTCGCCAGAGTGGCACGTAAAGTTAACCATCACATTTGGTTTCTGCCAATTTGTGTGAGCATGCCTGTTACTAGCATTCATCAGTTTTCTAGCTCATTCTAACTCTACTTGAACTCTGATATTCTAATGATTCTAGCACGAAGTTAAAAACTTCTTTGACTCTCCCCTAAAGTATTTTAGTAACACTGTTGACTGAGGGGAAAAAGAATGAGAAAGTTTAGAAAGGAAGGGAAAAAAGCCTTCACTGAGCAGCTTCTGACCTATTAACTCTGGTTTGTTTAAGGATCTGCAGTGTGCTAGGCCAGGCTAGTTCCCAGTTCTGTTGGGGCTTATGGTCTGATGTGGGAAGGCCAACAGGAATGTGTAAATGAGTGGGATGAAGATGACAGTGTGAGCACCGTCCTGCCACCTCGTCTGTGCCTCCGTGCACCTAGTACCCAGCGGGGCACGTAATAGTAGTCACTCAGTACATATGAGTTGGTGGATCTCTCTTAAAAAACCCAACTACTTATTCAAATTCTTCTTGTTTCTGTTGAGTGTTAGAGTACTGAGTCAACAATTAAGTTCGTGAAATTGTCCTAGAAAAAGTATTACATATCTCATTGCTGAGTATCAGTACAGTCACCTTTGCAGTACTCCCCTTGGGAAGCTATGCACCAACGCCGTGCCTAGATCCTAGCAATTTTGAAACTCTTTTTTTTCTGGAATGGCCATAGAGCTGTCCTATAAAGATCTGACAATTAAGTTTGTGAACTCATCCTAGAAAAAGTGCTTTGATGGCTCTGATTGCAGAAAGAGTTCCAAAATTGCTTTCAAGGATGGACTGGGCATTGGCATTGGTGCATGGCTTCCCAAAGGGGGTATTTTGAAGGTGACCATAGTGACATTTAACCATGAGGTTGTTTTTCTGAGATGAATTTGTGAGCTTAATTGTCCGATCTTTGTGTGTTGGACAAGTCTGAAGGGCTGACAGTACCTAGTGGCGAATACTGCCTTCAAAATTCTGGTGAGTGCTAGTCAAAAGTGTAATTTTCCTTTAAACATGCTCTGATGGTTTCTGCTAGTTAATAGCAAAGAGTCGGGGCACAGCTTGTCCTCCTGAGGTTTTAGACCAATCGATGGTTTTTACTCTGGATATTGACAATTCTCTGCCGTGTGCCCTTGTCTTTGGCTACGTGGGCTGACTGTTGTGAAATGGATTATACTGCTCAGATTGCCTCTTGGGGTTTAATCAGTGCCCAGCCAGAACTGCGTGTGGTGTGCCTGTGACTTTTCTTTTGTCATCTAATTGTTCAGGACGTGGGGCTGTTGATGGCACTGCTTTTGTATGGTCATACATTGAGTGATCAGTTTTTAAATCAGAGTTTATGCTTCTTTGCAGGATGCTGCGATTTGGAAGCCAGATTCATGCCAGAACTGCCGTTGCCATGGTGATATTGTTATCTGCAAACCTGCTGTTTGCAGAAACCCTCAGTGTGCCTTTGAGAAGGTATGGTGTCCTAATTGTGCCCTAAATGTATTGTAAAGTCAATAAAGGGTTGGGTTTTTGCATTGTTCAGTCTTCTGTTTTTGACGTTTATCCCAACCTCTAACTGGAAGCTTTATGAAATGCAGAAGAGAATTTTAATGTATCATATCTAATAATATTCTAACTTCTAGATATTATATGTAATAACATCCTAATTTCCATTTATTGAGCATTTACTCTGGACCAGGCAGCCAGTTAAAGGTTTCACAAATGTTATCCCATTTAATATTATATGGGCAAGTGTTTTTATTTTTCCCTTATAGATAAGGAAAGTAGAGCTTGGAGATTTTGAGCAATTTAACTGTAATCGTGTAGTTTATAAACGGCTGCCAGAGATTTCACCTCTACTCAGATCGGTGTCAAAGCTACTAATATTAACCACCATTAGGATGAACCATTGAATGGATGGAAAGTCAGAATTGGCTGCTTTTTATTTTTTTTTTTACAGTTTTTGGCTGGGGCTGGATATGAACCCGCCACCTCCAGCATATGGGGCCAGCACCCTACTCCTTTGAGCAATATGCGCTGCCCCAGAATTGGCTTCTTGGAAATAATTTTCTGGGACGATCATTTGGACCTGCCGCTGATTGTATTATTGTGTTACCACGGGGCTCCCTGGAGACACAGACTAGTGTTGTCTGGAGAAATCCTTTCCTGTTTGACCAAGTCTATGACTGACAGTTCCTCCTTCCCTTGTTAAAAATTTTCAGTTTTTTTCTGACTATATGTCTGTTCTGTTAGAATAATACTTTTTCTAGGTGCTGATTCTTTTCTTTTAAAGTGAATCTATTATAAAAAAAAAGTTTTAAGTTTGAACTTTTCAAGCTCCTTGAAAACTGATTATTTTCTTTAAAAAGCATTCCAGTGATTTCAAAAGCACAGTTTATTTTTCTAGATTTATGCCCCCCCCCCATTAATCTTGAGCCTCTGTGCCGTCTCATGCCAATAAGTTTCCTAACAGAGGCATGAAGCTATGATTTTAAGGGGATCCCTCCATTTCTGCGTGGATATATTCCTAAGAAGCTGGGAGTACATCAAATATTAGTAAGCTTGATATTATTTTGTTGTATACTGTGAGGTGTTCTTTTTTATGGACTAAATACTCACTTCCTAAAAAGTCACTGTTTTGCTTGCTGAGTAACTCATGTCTGAGCTGGTGATAGAAAGGCCTTGAAAACAATGTCCTCCCTCACTTCATAAGAAATGTTAAGAGACATAAATTATATTTCTAAAAACTAAACATGCTATATCAGGGCCTACGTATGGGCTATAAACTAAGAATGGTTTTTATATTTTTAAATGGTTGAAAAAATCAAGAGTGGTATTTTGTGATATGAAGATGATGCGAAACCCTATCTCAGCATTCGTAAATACTGTTTTATTGAAATGCAGCCTTGCTCATCTGTTTAGGTATCGTCCTTGGCTGCTTTTGCATTATCTAATTGTGATGAGGACCGCGTGTAACCCCCAAAGGCTAACTGTTTATTATCTGGCCCTTTACAGAAAAAGTTTCTGGTCCTTGTTCTGTGCCCAGCATGTGATTTTGTACCTTCTTAATTTGCTCTTCTAATTTTTCTCTACTTCACTCTCCCAGTTGCTTTGGCCAATAAAACTCAGAGGCATCTCTGAGTCCTCACTTTCTCCCATGTCCTCCATCCAGTGCGTTAGCAAACCCCCAGCTCTTCCCTCATGACACAGTAAGGGCCAAAGGCGACTCCTCTGCTCCCGCTCTGGTGCCGTCCATTATCTATCTGTCTGCCTGGATTCTCACAGTAGCCTCGTAACTGGTTTCACTGTTTCTGTACTTGCCTTTATCGCTGTAGTCTTGACATAGCAGCCCGTGTGATCCTGGTAAAATTGAAATCAGATCATATTGCTTTTCTCCTTAAGCCTCTCCAGTGGCTTCCAATAGCTTTTCTTCTCACTTAAGGTAACTCCCCACAACACCTGTAAGGGACTTCTGCACTCTCTAATTAATCTTCCACTATTCTTTCCCTTGCTCACTCTGCTTCAGACACCAAGCCTCCCTGCTGTTCCCTGGATGTGTCTGTCTAGATCTGAGAAAGAATTTCAGCAGGAACAACAAAGTGTAAATGCCCTATGACAGAAGCGCCCCGGGTGTGCATAAACAAATGCGTGTGTGTATGTGCGTGCATGTGTGTGCATGTGTGCGCATGTGTGCATATGCACATGTACACATATGCCTCCATCCTTTACTTCCGTGAAGTCTTGCCTGAATACCATTTTGTTTAAAATTGCAAATCTCCACTCCCCTCACATATTTTGTATCCGTCTTTTGTACGTCTTTCTTTTTGGCACTAACTACTACCTGACACGCTATATATTTTACTGTTACTTCTTGTTTACGGTCTCTTTTATTCTCTGTATATCCTCAGCACCTAAACTAGCACCTGACACATGGGAAGGACTCAATAAATATTTCTTTACTGACTGAATGAAAGAGAGATGAGGCCAGAGAGTTGGCAAGTTCAAGCTTATGCAGAGCCTTGTTTGCCGCAGTAAACTTGGAATTTTATTTTTAAGATGGTAGGATAGTAACAAAGATATCAGGCATCAGGGCGGAAAGGTCAGCTTTTCTTTTAGAAAGGTCTTGCTGGTTTTTCCAAGATAATGCATAATATCGGCAATGTGAAGACCACTTGAGCAGCTGTGAGGATGGTCCAGCGAGAAGGTGAATACCAGGGTTGCAGCACTGGCAGTGTAGGGTTCAATAAATGTTTAGGGTATAAATCTGCAGAACTGGATGAAAGTAGGAAGGTAAGGGAAAGGAAAAGAAGAAACAACTCCCATGTTTATGGCTTATGCCTAGCTGAGTTCCTAGCCAGTGTGGAGAATACAGGAGAATGAGGAAAATCAGCCCGTCTAAGCAGAATGATGATTTCAGTATGGGGCCCATTGAGTTTGAAATGTCCGGGGAGAAGTGGGTGGCTATGCCAGAAAGGCAGATGGTTATATGAGTCTAAAGCCCAGAGGAAAAGCGGGGGCTGGAGATCCACTGTGGCTGTCACCAGCATCTAGACAGCAGTGTAGACTTGTAGGGTAAATGCACTTGCCCAAAGAGACTGTGTGAGAAAGGGGTACAAGACCAAGGATGGAATTTGGAGAACATAGTCTTTTAAGGGGAGTTGAACATAGAGAGGGAAAGTAAGGAGATTAAGGAGACAGGGTCGAAGTCAGGAACAGTATTATGGTCTGGAGAGTGGAGAATTTCCAGAAGGAGTTTATGTTAATGGTGTTGATCACAGTTCAGGGAGTGAGTATTGGTGATTGGAGATGTTCTATTGGGTTTGGCAACATGCAGGTCCCCGGGGGCCACACTGAGGCTGGTGTTGGTGGTGGAAACCATACAGCAGAGGTGTGAGGAGTTGATGGAAGGTTGTGAAAGGAAAGCTAAGTAAAAGTTCCTCTTTCTAAAGCTAGAGCAAGAGAGGAAGAGGAGGAAGGGGCATTAAATAGGGAGCATTACATCTGCTGCCAAGCCTCCCAGGTGCGGATGTGGTGCCAGTGCTCACCCTTCCTGCATCCGTGACCCGACCGTCTGTCTGCTGCTTCTTCAGATGAGCAGCTGCTAGGCAGGACCTTATCTTCACACCGCAGCCCATCACACAGTGCGGTGTGGCCCCAGCAGGCACTCGGCCAGCATTTGTGGAATGGACGCACAAAGGAAAGAGAGAAGGTTTTGTTTTGTTTTTTAGATTCTGATATTAGCGTGATAGGAAAAGGACATGGCCCAGCCTAGAAAGAGAAGTGTGAGATGTTAGACTTGAATGATTCTGGAGAAGAACAGAGGAGTGTGGGGTAAGCTGGGGGTAGGGATGGCGTCACTGTCTGGAATGGGAAGAAAGAGGCCTGCATGGGATGAAATCAGACTGGGGCTAAGACAGGGACAGGATCCTAAGGTGGCTCATACCTGCTCAGCTTACTCTGCGGAGACCTGGAGGTTCAGTGGGGAATTATGAGAGAGTGCTGAATGTCAGGGCTGTCAGCGAGGGGTGGGAAGGACTGACCGTGGTCAAGGTAAAGCAGTTGTGGGTGGGATTAAGGGCCTCTGAGAGAGCAGGCCATGCACCTGTAGGCCATGCACCAGGCTGTGTGGTGCAGTGATTTTCACAGTGTTTACCCATCAAGTATAAAAAAGGATAAGGCAAATTGTGGGGCAGATCCAGGATTGGGACTTTTTTTTTTTTTTTTTTGATGAAGAGAAAGACTAGATGTGCAGGAAGTGGTGGGTGGGCATTGAGGCTGCCTTGAAGAGGAAACGGAGGTCTGCCCGGGATTTCTGGTTTATGGCAGTGTGGAGTGTGGGCAGTTGTCAAGGTTAGCCGTGGCTCTGTGTCATAAGGTGAGAATTGCTTGAATTGATGTGGTCAAGGGTAACAAAGATGGGATGCTGGAGTGGTCGTTTTCATGGAGATTGAATTTGTCCAGAATAATGGTTAGATAGAGGGTAGGAAAAAACTGAGATCCAGGTGTCAAGTCTTTGGTGAGTGACTATGAGGGAGAGACAAGCAGGTGGGTAAATCATGGCAGTAAGGAAGAAAGAGGTAATCAGAAAGCGTGACCCCTACGGAAGGTGTTTTCTTCCCTGTAAAAGGATAGGATCGGACCAGATGATCCCACCAAAGAAACCTTCCAAGATCATGCAAGTCTTCCACAGAGCCCTGGGGTTCTTTATTTTAAGTAATAAGGTAGCATCATAAGACGGTTGAACTAGCAGGTTGACTACAAGTCATTTATTTATTTATTTATTCCTTTATTCATTCAGACAAAGTCTCAAGCTGTCGCCCTGGGTAGAGTGCTATGGCATCACAGCTCACAGCAACCTCAAACTCTTGTGCTTAAGCGATTGATTCTCTTGCCTCAGCCTCCCAAGTAGCTGGAATGACAGGCACCCTCCGCAATGCCTGGCTATTTTTTGTTGTTGCAGTTGTCGTTGTTTA